AAGATGGATATATATTGATGTGGCCCCCTTTGGAAAATACAATCCGCCACACCTTTCCTCCACTGTAAATATATACTCAGTTTTTCAGGAATCTAACTGGTATAAAATGTACATAAAGAGCAGGGATATACCTGTATTTCATTATTAAAACCTGTGAATTTTTAAAAAACTCGTATTGTGATTTGCTATTTCTTATTATAAGTTGCAGTTGTATAAAAATTTAAAATTCAGTTTAATAGTCCTACATCAGACATTATGTTATGATAGTTCTTCAAAATCTTTTTTTTTTGAAGATTTTATTTATTTATTTGACAGAGAGAGACAGCGATTGAGGGAACACAAGCAGGAGGAGTGGGAGAGGGAGAAGCAGGCTTCCCGCAGAGCAGGGAGCCCGATGTGGGGCCCGATCCCAGGACCCTGGGATCATGACCTGAGCCGAAGGCGGAAGCTTAATGACTGAGCCACTCAGGCGCCCCAGTTCTTCAAAATCTTTATCTGTTGATTGGTTTTAGAATTTACTTTAAGAAATATCTTTGTGTGAGCTAGAATAATTTCTTAACTTTGTAAACATTTCCTATTTGTGTTGGGAAATAATAGCTACAGGAATAATTGCAGATTTTTTTCAAAATGAATATTATAAAGAATTGATTACATATTGATTTAAAGTAAAATATAGCAAATTCTTAGTAACCCAAGAGATGAGTACCCAGTTTATGGATTATTTGGCCTTTAAAAAAAAAAATCCTTATGTGATGAAAAAAACACACTTTTTTTGCTGTGAATTCATTTATATTCTCAAAAAAAGAATAAGGGTTGCATTTTGCCTTTTGATTTATATTCTAAATGACTGAAGCATGTAATACTAGTGAATGCTAGTAGCTTTGAGTTTTATGGCTTTAAATCTGTGGTTTTTAATTTTAGTATACATTCTGTTTAGAATATGATTTTTTGGGGGCTTATGGCTGATTATAATTTTCATGATTGATGCAGTCAGACTTAATTGGCCATAGGATAGAATACATCATTATCAACTGTTGAGAAGCAGTGGATCTGGTTTTTAGGACTATCTTGCATGGCAATTGTGTCTGCTGTTGCTGTGCTGGAGTGAAAACATTTAAGGGGAACTGAGAAGACAGAGCTGCAGGTAAATCATAAGCTTTGGGGGAAAACCTGACATAAAACAGTAATGAGAGAATTGCCATGGAGAAGGTAGGTAATTTGCTAAAATAGGGGTAATCCATGCATGAGTAATTGAATGTTCCCTATTTGTACTTCTGGGAAATTGAGAATTTAAAAGTTCTTTGATTTTCTGTATAAGTTGCCAGATTTTCTTGGGATATATGATGATTTTGATCACCAAGTTATTTAAATAGATGATTAGTACATTTAATAAATCTGTATTAAGATTAAATTAAGTGCAGTATAATTCTTTATATTTGCATTTTGTTTTAAAGTCTTCCAAAGTGTTTTTATCTCTATATATCACTTTAGCATCACAAGGTCCCGTTCTATATTATCTTTGTCTGCTTGGGCTGCCATTACAAACTACCATAGAGTGGGTGGTTTAACAACAGGAATTTATTTCTTGTAGTTCTGGAGGTTGGACAGTCTAAGAGCAAGGTCTGGCTAATTCAGGTTCCTTGGTGAGGACTCTTCCTGGCTTGTTGCCTTCTGGCTGTGTCCTCATGTGGCAGAGAGTGGGAGACCTCTTAGCTCTCTTTCTTAAGAATACTAATCTCATTATGGAGGCCCCACCCTCATTACCTCTTCTGCACCTAGTTACCTCATACGTCTCGTCTCCAAATATCAGCACATGGAGAGTTAGGGCTACAACATTTGAATTTTAGGGGGAGGGGAATATATTCAGCCTATAACACACATGAAAGGAAATATTTTCTCATTTTATAAATGAGAATATTGATCCCAGAGTAGTAGTTTAAATTAATTCTGAACATTACCTAGCTAGCAAGTTAGAGAACTAGTTTCTTTAGTCAAACACTCTTGTTTTTACCATTTAATGTAACAATTTAAATCTGCAAGTCAGAAATCATGTCTTGTTATTTCCCAGCGTGACTATAATTTATCTCTAAGTCTCTGACAGTATTTCAGATTCCTGCCAAGCAAATGAAGCTGCTCCTGGTTCTCTGAATACACGCTGTGCTCTTCTGAGATTTCTTCTTTTTTCATTTGAAAGGTCTATTCATCCAGTATTTCTAGGAAACTTGTCCTGATTCCTTTTTCATTTTGTTTCTTAGATGAGTATCTATTAAGAGTCCTGGACTTGCAAATTTTTTTTTTTTTAAGATTTTATTTATTTATTTGTCAGAGAGAGCAAGAGAGCACAAACAGAGGGAGCAGCAGAGGGAGAGGGAGAAGCAGGCTCCGCACTGAGCAGGGAGCCTGTTGTGGGACTGGATCCCAGGACCCTGGGATCATGACCCGATCTGAAGGCAGATGCTTAGCTGACTGAGCTACCCAGGTATCCCTGGACTTGCAATTTTAAGTTTGTGCCTTTTTTTTTTTTTTTGGTTAATGGCTCTCTCTCTTTTTTTAAGTAGAGCAGTTCTAATTTTCAGTTATTATACTGTTTGTTCCTAAATATCTCTTATCTCTTTGTTTTCTCTTGAATGATCTCATTTATACTTTTTTTGGTTACTTTCTACATCTTTTGTTTTCTAACCCATAGCCACCAAGTCCTAAATCTCTCCTGAATGTTTTCTCTCCAATTCTACTAGCTTTATCCTGGCTTAAAGTACCATTATTTTCACCTGGACTGTTGTGTAAACTTCTTACAATTTGACCCCTTTTTTTTTAGCCACTTTAATTTTCTTCCTTTCTGTTATCCATACTACACCAGGGATGACACTTGAAAACAGCAGAGGGCCTGCCCACAGTAGCAGTAAAATAGTTACTGAATGAAATCAGTAGGTACTGATGTCTGCCATCTTCCCTGTCCCTGCGATCAAGCATTTGTATGGCAGGAGACTGCGGAAGGATTGCACATGAAACGTATTTGGTGTTGGGTGTCATGCTCTTTTGTACTTCACTAGGCATCCCAACTTCCTTTTACCGTTCTTCTCCTACCCCCTTTTTATTTACCATTTCAGCTCAGGCACAAGTTTATCTTCCTGTTTGGCTCTTTATTTAGAATCTAGTTACCTTATGGGATTTTAAACTTGAATATAGAAAATTAATTATACAGGGTTTTTTCCCCCCTTATCAGGAAGCAGCAATAGTGTATCAGTTCTTCTAGAGTTTAGTATTAACTTTACTACTTTTGTGCTCTAGTTCTTGGGTATTTAGCACATTCTTACTTGATTCTTAGAACAGCCCTTACCTTTTTCTTTCTTTTTTTTTTTTTTTAAAGATTTTTTGTATTTATTTGACAGAGAGAGACACAGGGAGAGAGGGAACACAAGCAGGGGGAGTGGGAGAGGGAGAAGCAGGCTTGCTGCTGAGCAGGGAGCCCGATGTAGGGCTCGATTCCAGCACTCTGGAATCATGACCTGAGCTGAAGGCAGATGCTTAATGACTGAGCCACCCAGGCGCCACAGAACAGCCCTTACCTTTAAAGAACATAATGCCTCCTCCAAAGGGAACTGAAGTTCTGGGAACTAAAGTGACTCCTTTTATTTAATTACGGAAAATTCTAAACTCACACAAAATAGAGAATTATATAATTAACATCCCTATTACCCACCTTCACCACAAGCAATGTTGTTTTATTTAAACCGCACCTTACTGCTCTGCTCCACCATTTTCTTGAAATAAATACTATTATTTTATATATAAATACTTCAGTTAAAATGACTCTTTCAGGGGCACAATAATAGCTAGTGAAAGCCAGAACTCAAATCCAGGAGTGTTAGTGTTGAATGGACAATACAACCCTTGCTTGTAGTTCAGTGTGGGGCTTGACCATCCATTACCATAAAGTAGTGACACTGATGATCACAGGTCCCACATGGTTTAAAAAAACTTTTTTTTTCTAGTTTTAATTTATCAAGTGATATAAGTAGGATAGTAAAGGAACATTATCCCCAATCTTGTTACCCAAAAATGTTAGTTATTTTCATTACTTTATAGTGGTACCTTTTATAGCTTTTTTTTTTTTTAAGATTTTATTTATTTGGGAGAAAGAGAGAGAGAGGAGAGAGAGAGAGGGCACGAGTGGAGGGGGGGTGGGGAGGGGCAGAGGAAGAGGGAGAAGCAGGCTCCCCGCTGAGCAGGGAGCCTGATGGGATTGTGACCGTGACCAGAGCCAAAGGCGGACACTTAACCGATTTGCGCCACCCAGGCGCCCCCCTTTTATAGTTCTAATTGTCTATGTCATTCGTGTCATCATTTTTGGTGGAGGTCATATTGCCAAATGCTTATTTCCTTTTTCCATTCTTTTTTCTTGTTCTGTAAGGAAAACAAAGGAACATCCCGACCATAGTATATTGTTTCATTTTACACTGAGAAACTGACTTGGTGATCCTTTCCTAAAGTTTGTTGTTTGGGGTGGGGAGTTTGTCAATACTTAGGGATAGATGCTTAAATTAATTGATAGTTTCCATGATATCATGAGGCTAACATGAGGCTAAACTTGTTTTTTCTTTTGGAGTAATTGTTTACCTGGAGAATAGGTTGAAATTCCTCAAAAGATTCTGGGTGTTTGAAGTCTGAAACATCTACTTGGTAGTAAATGATTCTTTTTTCTGTCACTAGATTGAACCTAAGTTTCAGTTTGTAGATGACAGCAAAAAAGTGCTGTCCCGAGTACTGAGAAGTACTCTTACTAATGAAGAAAGAAATGATAGAAAATGTTTAGTCTATAATTTGTACTGATTAAAATACTTGAAACATGTTGTTTGAAACTATATATGGTATATTTGAAATACTCTTTCCTACTTTATTGAATTACTTTGTAAAATGCTGTTCTTATTTTTCCCCCAAGGAATAGTATTCAAGTAAATAATACTTGTCGTTAATGTAAGTATGTATCTTTGTTTTAATAGGCATCAAGCATGATGGAACCATGTGTGATACCTGCCGCCAGCAACCAATCATTGGCATTCGATGGAAATGTGCAGAATGTACAAATTATGATTTGTGCACTGTGTGTTATCACGGAGATAAACATCATTTAAGACATCGCTTTTATAGAATTACTACACCAGGAAGTGAGCGGTAGGGTAAACAATTTTTCTTCAGTTATAATTCCTTGATGGCATTCAATTTTTTATACTATTCAGCCTTAAAAGTAGGATTTGGAAATAGCTTCTGACAGCTGGTTTAGTACCAGGACATAGGAGATAATAGGCTAGATGTGGACTAGGTAGGCCTGCCATATAGTGAGAAAAAAGCTCTGTGAAGATGGAGCTGTACGTATTTTTTCAAGATAATCTGGGCTGTTCTTTCTCTGGCATGGAGACTTGGCACTTCTCAGTATTTGGAAAAGCAAGGGCGGCCCAAGGGAGGCTCACTGTTTCTTCTTACTGTGCGTTCTGTTCTGCTAACTGCTACCAGACAAACACTAGGGCCCATTGATTGAATCAACAGGCCTTTATTAAGACTGTGTAGCAGCTACTAGGCTTGTGTAAATTTGAAGATAACTAAAACAGTATTCTTTTTTTTTTTTTAAAGATTTATTTATTGGCGAGAGAGAGAGGGAGAGAGTAAGCAGGGGAAGGGGCAGAGGGAGAGGGAGAGAGAGAATCTCAAGCAGACTCCCTGCTGAGTGTGGAGCCTGACTCGGGGCTTAATCTCATGACCTTGAGATCATGACCTGAGCTGAAATCAAGAGTTGGATGCTCAACCAACTGAGCCCTTAAGGTGCCCTTAAAGCACAGTATTCTTTTTTTTTTTTCCCTCTTAAAGAATTTATAAGCTAAGGGATTATTTGACCAGTGGTGATTATCATGTGATGTTTTAGACTGTATATAGAGAGTATTAAGTGTCTTAGCAAAGAGAGAGGAATATTAATTGTGAATTGGTACAGAGTTTCAGGTGATTGAATCTTCTTTTGTACATAGATAGCAATAATGTATAGGAGCAAGAATCTAGCCAGTCATAGGGAGGCAGCGGGAGTAGTAGAAGAATGGATTTAGGTATAAGACTGTCCCAGTTCTGGGACACCTGGGTGGCTCAGTCGGTTAAGTGTCTGCCTTCAGCTCAGGTCATGAACCCAGGGTCCTGGGATCGAGCCCCGTGTTGGGCTCTCTGCTCGGTGGGGAGCCTGCTTCTCCCTCTCCTGCTGCTGCTTCCCCTGCTTGTGCTGTCTTTCTTTCTCGCTCCATCAAATAAATAAATAAAATCTTAAAAAAAAAAAGACTGTGCCAGTTCAAATCCTGGTCCTGCCTTTTATTAACTGAGTAGTTTTAAACAAGTTGTTTATTCTTCTCTTTTTGCTTACAATTTTTAAAGTTAGGGTAATAATATAATAAAGATATTCTAAAAATGAGTAGAATAATGAGGTAAAATTAGCAAAACAAAAGGAAAAACCCCAAACCTTTTTTGATTTTATGAATGAGAAGGATATAGAAGAATAAGGGAAAGACGGCCTTGGAGAACCAAGCTGGTCCAGATTGTTGAGTGTAGATTTTTTTCAAGGTCCTCCTTGAGTGTTCCTCCTTAAGTATTCAATACCTTGGAGACAAGTTAGTGTTAGGTCAACACCAATGTATTTTACTTGGCCCATACTGTGTTCTGAATTTTTGAACACCCACGTCTGCACACGCGCACACACATACCCAAAGACTGTCAGCACTGGGCATTTGATCATGGTAACAGTTGGCTGACAGAGGAGCATCAGTACCCTTTAGACAAATCATGGTCTTGAATTCACCAAAGTCCCTACCACTGCCTCTTGTCTTACTGAGCCTGGGATCAAGTGCTGCTTGTTGCCATTTGTCATTGCTGTGGTGTTATCTTTTTGGCCTTAATTTATGTTATTTCTCTGGCAGTTGTAGGGATTTGAGTTTGCCACTTATAAAGTGGTGAAGGATATAGTGATACTCTGAAGTGGTTAGATTGGATTCATATGTTGATTCCATTCATTATTATTTAGCTTTTGTGACCCTGGATAAATCACTTACCTCTTTGAGACTGTTTCCTCATTTGTAAAATGGATAAAATATAACAATACCCTCTCTTAAGGAGTGTAATAGACTTTTATACTTTTATGAGTGCTTTACTTATAGTAAAACCTCAGTAAATATTAGATATTATTTTTCTAACTACTACTGTCATCATCATCACCTGTGGAATGTAAAGGTATTTATGTGTCATGCTATTAAGGTATTAACTAGAACAAAGAAAAATCTTTTATATTTTTAAAGATAACCTTTTCATTTTATTTTTAAAAATAAATTGGGGTGCCTGGGTGGCTCAGTTGAGCGTCTGACTCTTGGTTTTTGCTTAGGTCATGATCTCAGGGTCATGGGATTGAGCCCTGGGTCAGGCTCCATGCTTAGTGGGGAGTCTGCTTGAGATTCTCTCCCTCTCCCTCTGCCCCTCCCTGCGCTTGCTCACTTTCTCTCTCAAATGATTTAAAAAAATCTTAAAAAAAAAAATTTCTGGGTCAGTTAGGCATCCAACCTGTAATTTCAGCTCAGGTCTTGAGCTCAGGGTCGTGAGAGATCAAGCCTGGCATTGGGCTCTGTACTGGGTGTGGAGCCTGCTGGGATCATCATCCCCCACCACCACCCTCACTCTCTCAAAAAAAGTTTAGATATATACAAATAAATAAATTACTGTTAACCCACCTTTTTTTTTGTTTTTTTAAAGATTTTATTTATTTATTTGTCAGAGAGAGAGCACAAGCGGGGGAGCGGCAGGCAGAGGGAGAAGCAGGCTTCCCGCTGAGCAAGGAGTCGGATGTGGGACTCGATCCCAGGACCCTAGGATCATGACCTGAGCCGAAGGCAGACGCTTAACCGACTGAGCCACCCAGGCATCCCTTAACCCACTTTTATATAATTTAAAAATAAATACTTTTATTTTTAGGGTTCTGTTAGAGTCTCGTAGAAAATCTAAGAAGATTACAGCCAGAGGGATCTTTGCAGGTGCCAGAGTGGTACGAGGAGTGGACTGGCAGTGGGAAGATCAGGATGGAGGAAATGGACGAAGGGGAAAGGTGACATTTTTTTTTATTAATTCATCATGTTATTCTAGAATATTGTATGTTCAGAAGATTTTTATTATTATAACTGAATTTCTTGGTCCATTTTTTCTTATACCAGTAACAATTTTTAAAATCTTTATTTCTTTTTTTTCTGGAAGAATAAAGATTGTTCCTACCCTGTTGTAGATATTGATACTCATCAAGAAGGTTGTTGGGTAGATTTTACCTTTCTACTTTTTGGCTTCATATTGCCATTTTCTTGCCAAGAATGCAATTCTGAGCATCCTTTTTGGGTCAGTCCTCCCTAAGCAGTATATCATGCTTTTGACTTTGTTGTTAATAACATTTCATTTGAATTTACTTGTTTTATATTTAATTTCCTTGAAGGCCTGTTTCTGGTGGGGGGTTATAGGCATCTACTTTTGTTATCCAGTCTACTTAACTCTGTTACCTTTCTCAGGTAATTATCCAGGAGTCAATTATAGCAGTTATTCCAAAGGGAATTTTTGTATAGCTTGTTTAATTGGCAGGGCGGATAGTGGTGCCTGGGTGGGCGTCTTCCTTCGGCTCAGGTCATGATCCCGGGGTCCTGAATCGAGCCCCACATCGGGCTCCTTGCCCAGTGGGGAGCCTGCTTCTCCCTCTTCCTTGTGCTCTCTCTTGCTATCTCTGTCTCTCTCAAATAAATAAATAAAATCTTAAAAAAAAATTGGGGAGGATAGCCAGAGATATTGGGGTAGCTTAGTATAGATTCTTTTGAATTTAAAATTTTTCAAATACCTATTTTCTTTTTTTCCCTAATACATGTTTTCTAAATTGTTATTTTAGTATTGTTATATTGATTTCATTTTAAATAATAAGGTGTAATGTTAATGTTTGGAAGTCAGACATATATGTTTTAGCCATTATATTTTAAGTACTTTGATTTTTACTAAGGAAGCAAACTTTGTTTTTTTTTTAAATTTGGTAAATATTTATTGAACACTTAATATGTGCAAAGTTCTCTTCCAAACATCAGGGATATGCAAGTGGACAAAAGAGACAAAGTTCCTACTCTCCTGAAACCTGTAATCTAATTAGATTTGATAGGCAAAAAATATAAATCTAAATTCTGTGACTGTAGTATGGGCTGTGGACCAGCAGCATAGGTGTTACCTGACAGCTGGTTAGAAATGTAATAGGTCCCCTTTCTTCTAGTCCTTCTAAATCAGGATCTTCATTATAACAAGATTCCCTAGGTCATTTATATGCACATCAAAATTTGAGGAGCACTGCTTTGAAAAGAAAAATAGAGCAGTGTGAATTTGGAAAAGGCACCACCTCTAGATGGATGGAGTGCTATGGGGCATGCTTGGCAAGCCCGTTGCAAAGAGAAGGCACCCTTTTGTGGGTGGGGGTAGGAAATAGTCTTGCCCCAGCGCATAGGTCTTGATAAGTAGAGTGTGGGCTGGATGTCAGCCCTACTTTCCTCCTTAGTGAGGCCACTTGTATGGTCAACAACTTCCACAAACATAGCAGTTCTGTATTGTACAGAAGAATGTATAAAATATGTGAAAGTGTAAAGAATAGTAGTAAAATGAACACTTTTGTTCCCACTATACAGATTAAAGAATAGAATGTTATGAGTACCTTTAAAAGGCTACTTTTTAGCCTTTCACAGTTGTAAGCCCCCCCAAGATAATGGATTTTTGCTGTCCTTATTCCATTGTTTTTCTTTATTGTTATAGGACAGTGCTGTGTCCCACAACATTTAGGATTTCATTTTTGAAAAGACCAGTAGCAAGCACAAATTTAGTTATTGTAAGGATAGAGTAGAATTGCCACTTTTAGATTATAGTTCCCAGGACAATATAAACTGGATAGTCTCTGGCTAACCTGTCTTGCTTCCCTGGGAGTTGACAAGAATTCTGGGGTAGTCAATGGGCAAGGTCCTGGGAAACAGGGCTTCACTCAGGACCTCACGCAGGGCAGAAGTAAAGGCCAGGTGGTGGGCCTTGGCCAGGAATACAGTTAGAGGGGATGAGTTACTATGTGTTTTTTGCTTCCAAGCTTACTATGATCCACCTCAAAGTTTTAGGAGTAGGTCAAAGCAGAACATTTTGTGGTGTGAAATGAGAGACCTCAGCTGATCTAGGTGGCAGGGAATGGGAGTGGAGGGAAGAGTAGGAACTTCATTATTACTTCGTCTAAACAAGCCAAGTGCAATTGAGAATTTGGGTCAGGGACACATGGGCAAAGTGTCCTCAGGTCAATAAAATGGTACAGTGGCAGTGGGGATTTTGATGATAGTCTTCAGCACATCTGGCCTGTGAATCACATGGCTGCAATTTGGACAGAACAACCTTGATACCTGGTGCCCAGCAGTCATCCTGGAAGCTCCCTTTGATGGATGCCTTTGCCTCTTTCTTGGCTGGATCTCATGTTTTCTGTATCCTATTATATCATCTTACTTAGCTTGCACTTTCTTTTGGTAGAGTACACTTCTAATAGCTTCTTTTGAAAGTGCGTGAGAAGTACATTTTTAATATTTTCATTCTAAATTTTTTTTAACTTTATTCTTCCTCGCAATTATATGGTCAGAGGGTTGGAAATTATTTTTTCATCAGCTTTTGAAGGTAGGTTTTGAAGTCTGAAGCCACATCATAAATGGAACTTTCTGAGTTTCTGTTATTTTGGCACTTTTTGGGGGCATAGTAAGTAGGCATTTTTGAAGCTTTGAGTCATCAGAATTACATTTTTGGTTTGTTATGGTTTAATCCATGTTGCATTTTAAGAACATAGTGAGGAAAAATAAACCAGCTTGTACATGTGACTAAGGGAACTTAATATAATAAGTCTGTTTAAGAACATGTTTGAGATTAAATGTGATTTTTATTATCTGACTTTTATTTTTGCCCGAGTGTGTATATGAAGAACGTGTGAAGAAGTCTCTTTTTCCCTTCAGTGCAGGCTGCTTTAGCCCAATCCCTTGGTTAACCCACATAAATAGTGTGTATTGTCTTCTTTTCTTATCTATTTTTTTTTTTAACCTGTGTGTGAGGCTTATAATTCTCACCCCACTGCCATTACGGCATGTGCTCAACTAAATGGCCAGTATGAGCTATATTAAGGGTACATACCAGCCCAGGCTGAGCGTGCAGCACTGACAGTCTTTGACCTACCACATGCCAACATGTCCCATGATTTGCATGGTGATAACAAAGTTCATACACAAAAATAAATATGTCAAGGGTAGGATTTGGCAGACATGATGCAAAGACACCATGGAAATGTGTAGTGTATTCTTTTTATTTTTATAAGATTTTATTTATTAGAGAGAGGGAGAGAGAGATAGCACAAGTAGGGGAAGTGGCAGGCAGAGGGAGAAGCAGGCTCCCCATTGAGCAAGGAGCCTGATGCAGGGCTTGATGCCAGGATCCTGGGATCATGACCTGAGCTGAAGGCAGATGCTTAACTGACTGAGCCACCCAGGCGTCCCTGTGTTGTGTATTCTTAAAGGGTTTCTCAAGTACCACTACTGTCCTAGTATTTGAAGACCATTTTCATTTTACAAATGCTTTTGAATATGTTTCAGTTGTGTTATAGATAGGTACATTAAATGTATTTCTTTGAAGAAAACTTTTTAAAACGAATTTTTATTTATTAGAGAGTGCATGTGTGTGAGTGGAGGGAGGGGCTGGGTGAGGGGGAGAGAGAGAATCTCAGGAAAACTCTGTGCTGAGTGCAGAGCCCGACTTGGGGCTTGATCTAACGACCCTGAGATAATGACCTGAGCCGAAATCAAGAGTTAGAAGCTCAGCCGATTGAGCCACCCAGGCGCCCCTAAAAAGCTTTTTATTATGGAGAATTTCTTTAAAAAAATTTTTTTTTTATTTTTAGATTTTATTTATTTATTTGAGAGAGAGAGGGAGCACATGAGAGGGGAGGGTCAGAGGGAGAAGCAGACTCCCTGCTGAGCAGGGAACCCGACGTGGGACTTGATCCTGGGACTCCAGGATCATGACCTGAGCCGAAGGCAGTCGCTTAACCAACTGAGCCACCCAGGTACCCCTATTATGGAGAATTTCAAACGTACATCAGAGTAGAAAGACAGTGTAACAAATTCCCATGCACCCAACACCCAACTTCAAAATTTGTCAATATTTTTTAAAAATTCCATTTATTTGTTGAAGAAATCAGGTTCTTTGGATTTTTCCTGTGATTCTATATGGTATTCTTTTACTTGTTCCTCTAACCCTCGTGTTTCTTATAAACTAGTGGTTAGGGATAGAGACTTGATTAGATTAGGGCTCAATTTTGTTTTGGCAAGAGAACCTCACGAGTAGTGCTCAGTGCTCTCTGTTGCATCACATCAGGGCATGTAAAGTCTGATTATCTTAATGTTAGTGATGTTAAGATTGATCAATGGAGGCAGGTATTGTCAGTTTGACTCTTTTATAGAGTTCCTCAGCAACCTTTTACCTGATGGTTTTAGCAGCTATTCTGCGCATCTTTCTTAATCAAAATTGAAATTATAAAATTAATGTAGCTACTTTCTTAAGCCTTCTACTTTGTTTCCCCCTCAATAAGTCAGATCATATTAACAAAACAATTTCATTTAGGATTCAGAGCTTAACTAATGAACTTGCTTATATCTCAAGTAATTTGAAATATAAGATGAATTTGATTTAAATAAAATTTGTAGTGTTTGTTTTTTAGTCAAATGCTTTTTTGTGCCTCATAAAAATACAGACTTATGGGGCGCCTGGGTAGCTCAGTCGGTTAGGCATCTGCCTTCAGCTCAGGTCGTGATCCCAGGGTCCTGGGATCAAGCCCCGTGACCAGCCTGCTTCTCTCTCTCCTTCCTGTTCGTGTTCTCTCTCTCTTTGTCTCTCTCTCAAATAAAATCTTTAAAAAAACAAGAGAGACTTATTTGATCTAGCATTTTTTTTAAGGATTTATTTATTTTAGAGAGAGAGAGTGCAAGTATGTGGGGCAGGGGCAGAGGGAGAGAGAATCTTAAGCAGGCTCCATGCCCAGCATGGAGCCTGACTCGGGACTAGATCTCATGATCCCAGGATCACACCCTGAGCTGAAAATAAGAGTTGGACTGGACGCTCAACCGATTGAGCCACCCAGGCGCCCCTGGCATTGCATTTTTTTTTAAAGATTTTATTCATTTATTTGAGAGAGAGTGTGCAAGCATGAGTGGGGGGGAGGGGCAGAGGGAGAGGGAAAACAAGCTTCCCACTGAGCAGGGAGCCGGTAGTAGGTCGGTAGGTGGCTGGGCTTGATCCCAGGACCCTGGGATCACACCCTGAGCTGAAGACAGATGCCTAACCGACTAAGCCCCCCAGGTGCCCTCCTGGCATTGCGTTTTTAAAACAAACGAAGTAGAATGCTTTATAATCAGAAGGAATGTTTTACTAAAGATCACATATTTCACTTTAGAGTGTTAGAAGTTGTTGCTTTATAATGTTATACAGTGGTTAGTTGTGCAAATCATAAAGTAAAGCAGTGCAGTGATGGACTGTAAATTCAAGGTGGTAGTTACCTCTGTTGGGAGGCCAGGAGAATGGGCTTGATGGGAAACACACAGTGGACTTGAAAAGTACTGGTGATGTTCTTTTTCATAGGCTGGTATTCATTTCATTTTTTATTCTTTAAAGTTTATATATGTTATATTTTTTATGATACATGATTTATTTCAAAATTAAAAAAAATTAAAAATAATATATGAATTATTTCAAAATTAAAAAAAATTAAAAATAAGTAGACTTATATAATAATTTAAAATATTTCTCAAATGTTTGATTAAATCTTAAAGCCTTTTTATCTTTTTTTTTTTTAAAGGTTTATTTGTTTATTTGAGAGAGCGAAAATGAGAGAGAGAGAGAGAGTACATGAGAGGGGGGAGGGCCAGAGGGAGAAGCAGGCTCCTCGCTGAGCAGGGAGCCTGATGCAGGACTTGATCCAGGAACTCCAGGATCATGACCTGAGCTGAAGGCAGTCGCTTAACGAACTGAGCCACCCAGGCGCCCCAAAGCCTTTTTATCTTTACAAAAGCATCAAAACACGTAGCTTACAAAATGATCTTTTTTTAGTTCAGGGTAAAAACAAGGAAGGATTATTATATATCTTTTTTTAAATAGGTTATGCTTTAAAATTATATTTTAAGGTCATGCTTTAAAAATTATATGTAACGTCAGCCTGGCATTCTAAGTAACTGTAAAGGGTGGCTGATTATATGTGTCAGGATGGAGAAAAGTAATGAGTTGCACATGTGCAGCTCCCCATTCTTAGCTATAGACTGGTTTACTTGCGAATACCCAGTTCAGTGCTCATTTTGTATTATTTTTATGCAGTTGATTCTTGGCCCTTAAGCAGTAGCAACCCCAGTTGTTGGTGGTGGTTTTTTTTTTTTTTATGTCAAAAGAGCTTATGAATCAGCCTGTTGGATGTGGGGCCTAGAGATTGTGTCTGGGTTTCCATTGTAGGCATAGTGTTTTAGCTTAGATGGCTTGCCTTTGGGGGCAGCTGAAGGATATAGAGCTGGAGGAGCAATGTCAACTCGTCTTCCTTAAACATTGGCATTGAGCCTTGTGCTTCTCAGCTTTTAGCTCACCAGAGAGCATATTTATCTTGAATCATTCTGGGTATCTGGTCAAAGATTTTCAATTTTTTAATGAATAATGGGTTTAAAATAATACACTGTTCTTAAAGGGAACCCTTTCAGAATCAAAATTTAAAATTTTGTATTGAGTTATATATTTTCTGGTAATCTATTACTGTAATCACTAAGCCTCCCAATTCAAAATTTCTGTAATGATTTTAGAAATTATCTTATAATTCTGGAAATATGTCTCTAGTTATAATTGAGTTATATGTTAGAAGTGACTTATGTAAATATTTTTCATGATCCTGTTAAAGAGGATGATAGCTGAAATGATATGTGAGATTTTAAATATAATTAAGAGAACTATCCTCTCCCCTCCCCTTTTAAAAAATTGTTTTCTCTGACAATTCTCTTAGGTAACAGAAATCCAGGACTGGAGTGCATCAAGCCCACATAGTGCAGCATATGTTCTCTGGGATAATGGTGCTAAGAACCTTTACAGAGTTGGCTTTGAGGGCATGGTGAGTAGTAAGAATCACAAAAGATAAAAATATTGGATAGATAAAGAAGGGAAATAAAAGTAGCTCTTATTGTATTCCTTTTTTTTTCTTTTGTCATATTTTGTCAGAATACAGCCATCTGAATCATGAATTTGCAGTAGGAAGAAAATCTGTAAAGTGAGGATGTAATAAACTTTACATTTTTAGTACATTTGCTTAAGCTATTTAATAGTAAATATGCTTTTGTCCTCAGTTAATATTTGGGTAGCTTACTATATATTGATTGTGTAGAGCTGATCCCTTATAAATCTGAGTTAGGGGCTTATTTACTAAAATCTATCAAAAAGTTTTAGAATCATCTGTAAGGCTGCTCCTCAGCATGGGCACAGAGTATAGTATTATAATGAGGTTTTTATAGGATAATCATTCTAGCTCTGGTAGCTAATAAAAGTATAAATTATAGTAGGTGTTAGAGTTGTTTTTAAGGAGATTTTTTTCCCTTCGATGTTTTAAAGAGTACTGTTGGTAATTGAAAATGTTTGATCTTGGGATCTTGATCTGCAAGCTGGTGCAGCCACTCTGGAAAACAGTATGGAGGTTCCTCAAAAAGTTGAAAACAGAGCTACCCTATGACCCAGCAATTGCACTACTGGGTATTTACCCCAAAGATACAAATGTAGGGATCCAAAGGGGTACGTGCACCCCAGTGTTTATAGCAGCAATGTCCACAATAGCCAAACTGTGGAAAGAGCCCAGATGTCCATCGACAGATGAATGGATAAAGAAGATGAGTGTATATACACACACATACACACACACATACAATGGAATATTACGCAGCCATCAAAAAATGAAATCTTGCCATTTGCAACGACATGGATGGAACTAGAGGGTATTATGCTAAGCGAAATAAGTCAATCAGAGAAAGACAATTATCATATGATCTCACTGATATGCAGAATTTAAGAAACAAGGCAGAGGATCATAGGGGAAGTGAAGGAAAAATAAAACGACGAAACTGGAGAGGGAGACAAACCATAAGAAACTCTTTTTTTTTTTTTTTTAAAGATTTTATTTATTTATTTGAGAGAGAGAGAATGAGAGATAGAGAGCACGAGAGGGAAGAGGGTCAGAGGGAGAAGCAGACTCCCCGCTGAGCAGGGAGCCCGATGTGGGACTCGATCCCGGGACTCCAGGATCATGACCTGAGCCGAAGGCAGTCGTTTAACCAACTGAGCCACCCAGGTGCCCCCCATAAGAGACTCTTAATCTTAGGAAGCAGACTGAGGGTTGTTGGAGGGGAGGTGGGTGGGGGGATGAGGTGGCTGGGTGATGGACATTGGGGAGGGTATGTGTTGTGGTGAGCATTGGGTGTTGTGTAAGACTGATGAATCACAGACCTGTACCCCTGAAACAAATAATACATTATATGTTAATTTAAAAAAATAAATAAAATGGGTGGAAAAAAAATGATTGACCTAAAAACATTTCAGTTATGTGCTTAGGAGAATAATGGTGGTTTATTCAATGGATTGCCCTATATTTCTGCATTTCATGGATCACTGTTCAAATTTTGACCTCAGCTATTTAATTTATGGAGTACAACTAAATATTAATGCCAAAATATTAATGCCTTTTACATCTTTTCCATCTTGAATATATTCCTCCTTCAAAGAATTCTTTAAATTTTGTTTTATCCCAACTGTTTTATGCCCCTTGGTAGGAGGGGAAAAATATCCCACTGTCCCCTTGCTTTTAATTTATTCCATTTATATGGAATAAGTTTATATGGGATAAATTAAAAAGCCAACAATGTGAATCTAAACAAATACTTGATTTGCCAATTTTAATACTAGTATATAGCATTAGTTATCAGTTTTTCATTAGTATTTTTATGCCTCCCCCTGTTTTTAAAATGTGGATTTTTTTGGGATTCTGATTATTAACTTGCTTCAGATGAAGTCTTAGAAGTTCTATGTGCAGAGATACTTAATGCGTGGTGTACATATATAGATTGATCGTTTTTGATGGCTGAGTAGTACTCCTCTCTATGGTTATGCCATTATTTATTTAATAAGGTTTCTGTTGATGGTATCTGGGTTTTTTTGTTTTTTTTTTTAATTGTTGCAAGCATTGTTTTAGTAAGCATCCTTGTACATGTATCTTTGCATGTTTATGGGTGTATTTTTTTAGGATAGATTCCTAGAAGTGGAATTGCTGGGTTAAAGTATCACATTAAAAAAATTTGACCCCTGTGTCTCTTTGGCTAGGACTGAGCTAAATGTGATGCTCTAGTGGCAAAAGAGGCTATAAAAGAGAGTTGAATTATGGAGTACAACTAAATGTGTGTGTGTGTGTATGTGTGTGTGTCTGTCTGTCTGTCTGTAAAGGAGCTCCTTTCCTTAGTACAGCAAGTAGATACCGATCCCCTATATACTATTAGGCACTTTTAAGCAAACCTAATTTTTATAGTAACTCCCAAGGTTGCTCTTCTAAGTTCACATTTTCTATACTTCTGATTATATCACAACTGCCTCCCCATTCAGAAACTTAAATAATTTGTTTTCTTATAAAAACTAAGTGGAAAGGAACTTGAGTTAACCAAGTTATGAAGTAAGGACTAAAGTTTACATAAATAGGAAAATTAACTGGCTAAGGAACCAGAAGACTGGATTGGGTCCTATCCTTTTCTATTTTCTGGCTGTTTGGTTTTGGATAATTTTCTTTATTAACTTAGTTAATACCTGCCTTGTGTGTGTCATAAAATTGATTGAAAAGAACAAATGAATTGTGCTCTTTTTTTTTGTAAAAGTATCTTTAAAATGGAATATGTTATGTACATTTTAAATACTAGGTATTGTGGTCTTATGTGTTTTTGAAAATATTTTAATGGTAAAGATCTAGGCATTTTAATTTTGAACTTTGAAGGAAAGCTAAAAGTAAATGAAGTATGACCTATCTGAAGATCAGTCTTTTAATTTTTAATGGGTGCTTTTGAAGGCAGTGTTTAGTGTGACTTTTAACTTAGAGCTATTCTTAACTTTTGCTGAGGGTATGTTCTGAATGAACATTTTTGCCTATTTTAGGTACTGAGCTATACTTGAAGTTTTCAAGCGTGATTTTTTGGTTTCTTTTCTTCTTAGTCTGATCTCAAGTGTGTCCAGGATGCCAAAGGAGGTTCTTTCTACAGAGATCACTGCCCTGTGCTAGGTGAGTCAGCAGACTAGTGAAAATTACTAAATAGTGTGTCAGAGTTCATGGAATCAGAAAATGTTTAAATTGGGTTTTAAAAAAAGTTATTTAAGGTGATACTTTTTGGTTTTTATTTTACTATTATTTTTTTGAAAATTATTTTCTCACTGGTCATCCATTTTATTTTATTTTTAGATTTTTTTTTTTTTTAATTTATTTATTTGACAGAGAGAGGCAATGAGAGAGGGAATACAAGCAGGGGGAGTGGGAGAGGAAGAAGCAGGCTTCCGGCGGAGCAGGGAGCCCAATGCGGGGCTCAATCCCAGGACCCTGGGATCATGCTGAAGGCAGATGCTTAATGAGTGAGCCACCCAGGCACCCATTATTTTGGTTTTTAAAGTATGTGTTCTTGGGCGCCTGGGTGGCTCAGTCGGTTAAGCGACTGCCTTCAGCTCAGGTCATGATCCTGGAATCCCGGGATCGAGTCCCACATCGGGCTCCCTGCTCAGCAGGGAGTCTGCTTCTCCCTTTGACCCTCTTCCCTCTCGTGCTCTCTATCTCTCATTCTCTCTCTCTCAAATAAATAAATAAAATCTTAAAAAAAAAAAATAAAGTATGTGTTCTTTTTTATTTATTTAGACTCTCAGAAAGTTGTCATGTCTTGAGAATTGATATACCACTTTTATGTCATAATATATTTGAAACCTTTGTCTTTTAGTTATAAACATGTTGAAAAATTTTGTTAGACTTTCAGTATCTCTTACATATTGATAATAGATTTTGACAATTTAATGCTTATAAATTCCTTAGAATTTTTGTAAAATTGCCTTCTAAATACAAAAATAGAACATTAAGGTTATATAATAAATATAATTTTTCATGTGTCATTAAAAGAAAAAAGGATAAGAAAACAGAATTATCTTCATATTATAGATTCTTTATTGCTGCTACAGTAAATATTTACCACATTCTTCTAATTAAGGCTTTAGTTTCTGAATGCTTGCCTTTTCATGTGAACTCTATGTTCCTCTTTTTAAATAATTTTATTTCCCTTTTGGCCAAAAAGTGCTGTTTTCTTACAGCATACCCTGATTTTTTTTTTTTTTTTAAGGAGAATGTAGAAGAAATACTTACATTTTTGACAAGATCATCCCTTTTTCTTGCTCTCAGAAACTTCCTTGTTTTTTATCTTGCCTTCATAGGAAAAGTGTAGAATCAACATACATATTTTGGATCCCTCATCATGGTGTTTTATGATCATGAATCCTTTGTGCCAGAACTAGCTTTGAAAATAATCTACAAGTCATCCAGGCAGAAAAATGAGTATTTTCAAAACCCAGAACTTTGTACTTTGATAAAGGGTTGCATAGTCTAATAGATTCTGCTCTTGTTCAGTTGTTATAAATCATCACATTATTTCAATTTTTGAGTCTTGTGATTGTTTTCTTTCTTATTTTTGATGCTCTCTAGCTCCAGAATCTGATACTTACAGTGTATTCTCAAAACATTTTAAGATTAGGTTAAGATTAAAATATCTAGAGCTTGTTTTTATTTAAAAATAATGCAGTTGCCTGATATGTTGTGGTTTTCCTTTTCCTTTGTCAACTCCCTCTGTAATTACAGGTGAGCAAAATGGCAACAGGAATCCTGGTGGATTGCAGATTGGTGACCTGGTAAATATAGATCTTGACCTAGAAATTGTACAGTCTTTGCAGCATGGTCATGGAGGATGGACTGATGGCATGTTTGAAACTTTGACTACAACTGGAACTGTTTGTGGCATTGATGAAGATCATGACATTGTAGTACAGTATCCAAGTGGCAATAGGTTGGTAATATTTCTTAATTTTTAGTAATGGCAAATAAAGTTAGTATATAGAGGAAAGGGCCTTCGAGAAAGCAAATAATGTGCTAATCAAAGACTCCTTAAAGCTGGCTATTAGTAGATAAAAATCCAGAATATGTTGGTAAAGTGGAATGGAACAAATGAAAAGAAGTGTGTGTGTGGTATCTATGTGAATTTATATGAATATATTTATGACACAATGTTCTGTGTACTTTTTGTTTTTTCCTGCTGGAGCAGAATACATTGTATCAGTATTAGGTTAAATATAGCTAAAAAGTTCTTTGTTCACAATGGACTGTATCAGTTTACCCTGAATGAGAAGAATAAAATTGGAACTCTGGCTGGTGTCTCAAGAGAGTCATCTCTTGGTAACATAACTTTTTCTTGCTACAGACGTGTGTGTATACCAATCTTTTCTTTTTTTTTTCTTCTAAAGATTTTATTTATTTAATAATAAGTGAGTTCAGCAAAGTTGCAGGATACAAGATCAATTTAGAAAAGTCAATTGTATTTTTGTAGACTAGCAATGAGCAATTTGAAAATGAAATTAAGAAAACAGTTTCATTTATAGTAGCATCACAAAAAAAATATACTTAAGAATCAGTTTAGCCCAAGAAGTTCAAGACTTGGGGAGCCTGGGTGGCTCAGTTAGTAGAGCATGTGACTCTTGATCTTTTGGTGGTGAGTTCAAGCCCCATATTGGATATAGAGATTTTTTTTTTAAGGTTTTATTTATTTATTTGAGAGAGAGAGAGCATGAGCCAGGTGAGGGGCAGAGGGAGAAGCAGACTCCCTGCTGAGCAGGGAGCCTGATATGGAGCTTAATCCCGGGACTCTGGGATCATGACTGAGCCTTAAGGCAGATGCTTCACCAACTGAGCCACCCAGGTGCCCCTGTAGAGATTACTTTAAAAAAAAAAAAGTGCAAGATTTGTACACTGCAAACTACAAAACATTGTTGAAGGAAATTGAGGAAGACCTAAATAAACGGAAAGACATCTCATGTTTATGGATCAGAAGATCTGATATTGTTCAGATGGTGTTTTAGTTTCCTAGGGTTGCCATAACAAATTGCCACAGACTGGGTGGCTTAAACAACAGCACTTTATTCTTTCACAATTTTGGAAGGCTGTAAGTCCAAAGTGAAGGTGTTGGTGAGATTGGTTCCTTGTGGAGGCTCTGAGGGAGAATCTGTTCTATGCTTCCCCTAATTTCTGCTGGTTGTTGGCGATCCTTGGTGTTCTTTGGCTTCCAGATGCATCAGTCATTTCTCTGCCTCTGTCTTCACATGACCTTCTCCTCTGTGACTCTGTGTGTCCCTGTGTCTTCACATGACCTCCTTTTTTTTTTTGAGTACAGATTTTATTTTGAAATGCATTCAAATCAGTCTCTGATTGGTCATCCTCAGCCAGTTGTAGAGAATCATTTGAGACTGAGAGCCACATGAACAATCCCCTAACTCCACTATTTTGTTTTGGTCAAGTCAGTATTTGTAGCTTAACCATCCATGAGGAAAGAACCCTGAGAAAACATAGAAGTTAACTGAGCTCATGGGAATTCTAAAATCTTTTACATAGAAAATGACCAAAGCTGATTTCATATGACCTTCTTATAAGGACACCACTCATTGGATTTAGGGTCCATCCTAATCCAGCATGGTTTGCTTTTAACTTGATTACATCTGCAAAGACCCTGTTTCTAAATATGGTCACATTCAGAGGTATTGGGGATTAGGATTTCAACATATCTTTTTGGAGGACGTAATTCAGCATATAACACGGCAGTTTTCCCCAAACTAATCAAATTTAATGCAATCTATATCAAAACCCTAGTGCCTTTTTTACGGTATTTGGCAACCTAATTCTATAGTTCATATGGAAATTCATGTGACCCAGAATAGCCAAAACAGTTTTAAAAAGAAAAAAAAAATTGGAGGACTCACACTTCTTAATTTCAGAATTTACGATAAAGCTACAGTATCAAGACAGTATGTTACTGACATAAGATGGGCATATAGATTGATGGGACAGGGTTGAGAGTTTGAGAATAAGCCTTTGCGTTTAAGGTCGTTTGGTTTTTGACAAGGGTCCAACACAGTTCAATGGGGAAAGAACAGTCTTTTTAATAAATAATGCTGACACTATATACAGGCATACCTTGCAGATGTAGGTTCGGTTCCAGACCACTGTAATGAGGCGAGTCAGATGAAGTTTTGGTTTCCCAGTGTGTATAAAAGTTATGTTTACACAATACTGTAGTCTATTAAATGTGCAATTATACTTTAAATACTTTATTGCTAAAACATGCTAATATAATCTGAGCTTTTTGCGAGTTGTAATCTTTTGTTGCCCACATTAGTGTTGATGGCTGCTGGCTGATCAGGGTGGTGGTTGCTGAAGCTTGGGGTGGCTGTGGCAATTTCTCCCCCCCTTTTTTTAAGATTATTTATTTATTTATTTATTTACTATTTGTCAGAGAGAGAGAGAACACACAAGCAGGGGGAGTGGCAGGTAGAGGGAGAAGTAGGCTCCCCACCAAGCAAGGAGCCTGATGTGGTGTGGGACTCAATCACAGGACCCTGGGATCATGACCTGAGCCGAAGGCAGATGCTTAACTGACTTGAGCCATCCAGGCATCCCTTTGGCAATTTCTTAAGACAGAAATTAGAATGCACCTTTGCTGCATTGATTGACTCTTCCTTTCATGAATGGTTTCTCTGTGGCATGCAACGCTATTTGATAACATTTTACCCACAGTAGAACTTCTTTCACAATTGGAATTAGTCTTTTCAAAATCTGCCTCTGCTCTAGCAACCAAATTTATGTAATTTATAAATCCTTTGTTGTCATTTCAACAATCTCCATAGCATCTTCACCAGGAGTAGATTCCTTCTCAAGAAGCCACTTTCCTTGCTCATCTATAAGAAACAACTCCTCATCCATTCAAGTTTGATCATGAGTTTGCAGCATTGCAGTTACATCTTTAGGCTCCATTCTAATGCTGGTTCTCTTACTGTTTCCAGCACATCTGCAGTGACTTCCTCCACTGAAATCCTGAACCCCTCAAAGTCATCCGTGAGGGTTCGAATCAACTACCTCCAAACTCCTGATACTATTGCTATTTTGACCTCGTCCCATGAATCATGAATGTTCTTAATGCCATCTAGAATGGCAAATCCTTTCCCAAAGGTTTTCAGTTTGCTGAATTCCATTGGAAGAATCACTATCTATGGTAGATATAGCCTTACAAAAATGTATTTTTACCTTGTTTATTTATTTATTTACATTTTTTTAAAAGATTTTATTTATCTGACAGAGAGCACAAGCGGGGGAGAGGCAGAGGGAGAAGCAGGCTCCCCACTGAGCAGAGAGCCTGATGTGGGGCTCAGTCCGAGGACCCTGGGACCACGACCTTAGCCAAAGGCAGTCACTTAACCAACTGAGCTACCCAGTCACCCCTATTTATTTATTTTTAAAGATTTATTTATTTTAGAGAGGGAGAGAGTGTAGGGGCAGGGGACACGGGCAGAAGGAGAGAGGGAATCCAAATAGACTCCCTGCGGCGGGGTGCCTGACTCGGGGCTCAATCTCACCACCCTGAAATCATGACCTGAGCTGAAATCAAGATTCAGACACTTAACCAACTGAGCCACCCAGATGCTCCCAAAAATGTATTTTTAAATTAAAAGATTTGAAAGTCAAAATTATTCCTTGATCCATGGGCTGCAGAATGGATGTTGTATTAGGCATGAAAACAGCGGTTGTCTCATTGTACATCTCCATCAGAGCTCTTGGGTGACCATATGCATTGTCAATGCAGTAATATTTCTAAAGGAATTTTTTTTCCTGAGCAGTAGGTTTCATCAGTGGGCTTAAAATATTCAATCAGCCATGTTGTGAGCAGATATGCAGTCATCCAGATTTGTTGTTCCCTTTATAGAGCATAGGCAGAGTAGATGTAGCATAATTCTTCAGAGCCCTAGGATTTTCAGAATGGTCAATGACATTGGCTTCAACTTAAAGTCACCAGCTGCAGTAGCCCCTAACAAGACAGTCAGCCTGTCCTTAAAAGCTTTGAAGCTGGGCATTGACTGCTCCTCTCTAGCTGTGAAAAGTCTGGATAGCATCTTCTTCCAATAGAAGGCTGTTTGTCTATTTTAAAACACTGTGGTTTAGTGTAGCCACCTTCATTAATGATCTTAATCAAGATCTTCTGGATCACTTGCTGCATGCAGCTTCTACGCAGTACCTGCAGCTTCACCTTGCATTTTGATGTCATGGAGACGGCTTCTTTCCTTAAACCTCATGAACTAACCTCTGCTAGCTCCAGACTTTTTTTCTGTAACTTCCTCATCTCTCTCAGCCTTTATAGAATTGAAGAGAGTCAGGGCTTTGCTCAGGATTAGGCTTCAGCTTAAGGGAATGTTATGGCTGGTTTATTTTCTATCCAGATCACTCAAACTTTCTCCATCTCAGGAATAAGACTGTTTCACTTTCTTATCATTCATATTTTCACTAGAGTAACACTTTTAATTTCCTTCAAGATCTTTTCCTTTGCATTCACAATTTGGCTAACTGGTAAAAGGGGCCTAGTTTTCAGCCTATATAAGCTTTTGACATGCCTTCCTCACTGAGGTGAATTATTTCTAGCTTTTGATTTAAAGTGAGAGATGTGTGACTCTTCCTTTCACCTGAACACTTAGAGGCCATTGTAGGGTAATTAATTGGCCTAATTTCAATATTGTTGTGTCTCAGAGAATAGGGAGGCTGGAGGAGAGGGAGAAAGATGGTAAAGATGGCAAACTTCTGGTCTTTGCAGCAGTCCAAACACACACATTTATAGATTAAGATCTCTGTCTTACATGGGTATGGCTCCCCAAGTCAATTGCAATAATATCAAAGATTACTGATCACAACAAACAGCAAAGAAACAAAAACAAAGATCACTGATCACAGATCATCATAACAAATATAATGTTTGAAAACTGTGAGAATTACCAAAATGTGATAGAGAGATAGGAAATGAGCAAATGCTGTTGGAAAAATGGCATCAATAGCCTTGCTCACCACAAGGTTGCCACAAACCTTCAATTTGTAAAAACACTGTATCTATGCAGTGCAATAAAATGAGGTATACTCATACGAACATCTAATCATTATGTTGTACCACCTTAAACTAATCTAATGTTCTATGTCAGTTATACCTCTAATAAATAGATAAATAAAGCTGCAATGAAAAGAAAATGGTGCTGAGTCAGCTAGTTATCAACATGCAAAGAATAAAATTGGACCCCAGCTATACACCATATAGAAATATGAAGTAAAAAATGGATCACAGACCTAAATGTAAGAGCTAAAACTATAAAACTCTTAGAACAAAATGTAAGTATAAATCTATGTGACTTTGGATTAGACAGTGTGGTTTCTTACATGTGACCCCCAAAGCAGGAGATCCAAAGAAAAAGTGAATAAATTGGACATCATCAAATTTAAAAATTTTGTGTTTTGAAGGAAACTAACAAGTGAAAAGACAATGATGCAGTAGGAGAAAATATTTGCAAATCATACGTCTGATTTGGGACTTGTATCTAGAATATATAAAGAACTCTTACAATTCAACAATGAAAGACAACTAACCCATTTAAAAAATGGACAAAATATTTGAATAGACATTTTTCCAAAGAAAATACAGAGATGACCAATAAGTGCATTGTGCTAGTTTGCTAAGGCTGCTATAATAAAATACTACAGATTGAGTGGCTTAAACAACAGAAATTAATTTTCTTACGTTCTGGAGGCTAGAAGTTCAAGTTCAAAGTTCCGTCAGGGTTGGTTTCTGTTGAGACTACTTCTGCCTTGTAGTTGGTTGCCTTCTCACTATGTCCTCACATGGCCTTTTCTCTGTGCATGCTGAGAGAAAGAGAGGCATCTCCCACATCTGTTTCTCTTCTTATGAAGACATCAATCCTGGTGGATTAGTGCCCCACCTTTAGGACTTCATTTAATCTTAACATTTCCTTAAAGGCCCTAACTCCAAATACAGTCACAGTATAAGTTAGGAGTTAACACCCATGAAAATATGCCTCATGTTATTAGTTCACTAGGGAAATATAATTTAAAATCACAGCGAGATACCACTTCACATACTAGAATGGCTAAAATAAAAAAGCATATAATTAAAGTATTGGTGAGGATGTGGAGAAGTTAGAACCAAATCCTCATACATTGATAGTAGGAATGTGAAGTGGTCTTGATGCTTTGGAAAACAGTTTGGTAGGTCCTCAAAATGTTAAATATAGAGTTAGCATATGACCCAGCGGGTCCACTCTTAGGTTTATACTCAAGAGAATTGAAAACATGTGTTCGCCCAAAAACCTGTACTTGAATGTTTGTAGAAGCATTATTCATAACAGCCAAAATGTGGAAACAACCCACATGTCCATCAACTGATGAATGGATAAACAGAATATGATGTGTCCATATAATGGAGTATTATTCAGCATAAAAAGGAATGGCATACTGATATATGCTGCAGCATAGATAAATCTTGAAATATTATGCTCAGTGAGGGACACCTGGGCGGCTCAGTCAGTTAAGCGTCTGCCATTGGCTCAGGTCATGATCCCAGTGGGGATCCCTGCTCATTGGGGAGCCTGCTTCTCCCTCTGCCTGTTGCTCCCCCATGCTTGTTCTCTCTCTCTGGCAAATAAATAAACTCTTAAAAAAAAAAAAGAAAAGAAATACTATGCTCAGTGAAAGAAGCCAGTCACAAAAGGTCATGTATTATGTGATTCATGTAAAATATCCAGAATAGGTAAATATGTAGAAACAAAGTATATTACTAGTTGTTAAGGGCTGGGCTGTGAGGGGTAAATGTGGATTGACAACTAATCGTTTTGGAGTATCTTTTTGTGGTGAAGAAAATGAAATTTGTTAGTACTTGGATGTATAAGGCTGTGTAGATACTAAAACCACCGAGTTCAACACTTTAAATGAGTGAATTGTATGGTATGTGAATTATATCTCAAAGCTGTTAATAAAAAGAGAAGGAAATAATCTTAAATTCACACAACTTAAGTTCAGATTAGCATGTAAACATTTAGAGTTACTTTTTACTGACGTTTTGTGTTACCTTGTTTGTTTGGAAATGTTAAGATAAATTGGGATTATTACTTGCCAAATTCTTTCTTGATCAAAATTCTTTCTCGGGCAGTAGTGTCAACAGTAACATGACATTTGAATTCTATAAAATAATCTTTTTTGTTGCTCTTTTTTCAACAAAAATGTAGTAAGTGCTTGTCCTATATTAGCCCTGTGATTAGTGCTAGGATTACAAAGACAATTAAGATATGGTCCTCTGCTTTGAAGGGGTGTCGCTTTTAGTTTGGATGAACAAAACCAGAAATAACTGCGTTAAAATGGTGTAAGTAATTATGATAGATGAGTATTCAGGGTATTCTGAAGGTGCAAAAGAAGAGTGGTAATTTCAATGAAGCAAATTCAGAGGAAGCTTCAGAGAGATAATTACCTATGGAATGAATTTAAAAGATGGACTGCGTTTTCATCACGAGGGCAGCACTGGACACAGAGGTAACAACTCAAGGGAGTGCTGCCGTGCCCCGGTGCTGTCATAGGTCTCATCAATTTTGAAGTATTGGGAGCAATGTGAAAAGCACTGTGATTGTAAGGCTAGAGGGAAATGTTTGCATATCTGATTTTTATTTTATTATTATTTTTTTAAAGATTTTATTTATTTATTTGACAAAGACACAGCGAGAGAGGGAACACAAGCAGGGGGAAGTGGGAGAGGGAGAAGCAGGCTTCCTGCAGAGCAGGGGTCCCCGATGTGGGGCTCGATCCCAAGACCCTGGGATCATGACCTGAGCCGAAGGCAGACGCTTAACGACTGAGCCACCCAGGCGCCCCTGATTTTTATTCTTAACTGGTCAGAGGCACTTCTCTTTGTGGTTGCTTTAGAAAGAAAAGTTTGCTTACATGGTTGTAAGAACTTAGTAGCAAGTTTTTATATGTTATGACCTCTCTGTCTTTTATGTGCTGATGACCATTTGAATTAACGGGAGGAGGGGATAGTATGTTACATTGTAAAAGCTTGTTTGGAGGGCGCCTGGGTGGCTCAGTTGGTTAAGCGACTGCCTTCGGCTCAGGTCATGATCCTGGAGTCCCGGGATCGAGTCCCACATCGGGCTTCCTGCTCAGCAGGGAGTCTGCTTCTCCCTCTGACCCTCTTCCCTCTCGTGCTCTCTGTCTCTCATTCTCTCTCTCAAATAAATAAATAAAATCTTTAAAAAAAAAAAAAAGCTTGTTTGGGGAACCTTTTTTTCTATGGAGTGACACATAGGACTGGGAGAAATGTTGTGTTATATATTGTGGTACATCTATTTGATAGAATATTAAGTAGTCAATGAAATGGTAGTTATGAAGATGGTAGCAACATAGAAAAATGCTTGTGTGTAGCAAAGAAATCAGAATCCAGATTTGTTTTGAGGCAATGATTATAATCATGTGAAATACCCATGTGTGACAAGTTAAAACTAGATACTATTTTTATCCGAGATTATTAATGGTATGGAGAAATGGTGCACTATCTAGGGCAATTTGGCTCTATCAGAATTGTAAACAAATATATACTGTGATTAGGTAGCTTTTTAAGAAGCACTAATGAAATACTGACCTCATGTGCACTAAGACGTCATAGTGAAAATTTGAAAATACTTTAAATGACAGTAGGAGAATGGCTGACTGCATTAGTGTATACCTTGCAATGGACTACTGTAGCCATTGAATTGAAATAAGTAGCTCTATATCTGTCACACTGAAAAAGAGAGAGATATATATATAAAATCTCCTATTTATGAAAAAGGAAACAACTCTCTGTCTACGTTATAAATATTAACGTACTAATAGAAGATCTCAAGGATGTACAATGGGGTATTTTTGTCCCAATTTCATTAGATTTTGTTTTTAACTGAAGTATAGTTGACACCGCAATGAATATTAACCACAGTGTGGTTAGTAGTGGGATAGGAAATAGTGATCCAGATGTGTTTGTGTGAAATAGAAATTTCACTTTGTATGTTTCTGAAATGTTTTAATATTTCACAATGAGTGTATTTTATAACAATTTTTAAAACATGCAAGAGAAAACTAGACAGAAGTATATTAGTGTGGTGATTACAGATAAGTCTTTTCTTAAATTCCCATAATACAATTATAAAAAGAAATACGTATCATTCAGGATGTCATTGCAAAGTATTGCTTTGTGTTATAAGACTTTTTCCCCTTCAGTGTTTAACTAAGAATGTTGTATTAAAATTAAGTGAACTTACCTAACATTTTGAGTTTTGGCTTGATTTTTAGGTGGACCTTCAACCCTGCTGTTCTCACTAAAGCAAACATTGTCCGAAGTGGGGATGCTGCTCAGGGTGCAGAAGGAGGTACCTCACAGTTTCAAGTGGGTGATCTTGTACAAGTTTGTTATGATCTGGAAAGAATCAAACTTCTACAGAGAGGACATGGAGAATGGGCTGAAGCTATGCTCCCAGTAAGTATATCTAAAACAGTTTCAGACCAGAAATATTAAAATAGTTTTAGACTAGGAATTATATTATACTCATGTAGTTTTAAAAAATACTTTAATTTTGGAAACTAAATTAGAATAATCCTTTGAGAATTGTACTCTTCATTGGCAGCTAGGCATACTTAATGCCTTTTATTTTCTAATTTATTCCAGTGAGATTAGCCCAGGAAGGTCCAAATATGGCTACAGGTAATATGTTTTGAAAGAGTTGTTAGTAGAGAATGTCATGAAGGTGGAAGGCAGCAGAGACTTTCCCAATACTTAACCCCAGAGTGAGAGAGATGTGCTCATCTAGTTACTAGCCGTGCTGGGCCATTGCTGCTTTTCTCACGCGGGGGCCTGCCTCTCTAAAACTTAGAGTGTGAAAGAACAGCTCTGAATGTGTGCCTTCTGAGGTGGCTTTGCTCTCAAAGAGTTACGGTTTAGTTTTTCATTTGTTCATTTAATACATTTTTCACCAAATGTTCAGCAATGACAGAAAAGTTTGTTTGTTCTGCCCTCTTTGCATCCATCCTCTTTCTCCATCTGTACATCACCCTTCCTTCTGTACTACCCCTTCTGTCCTGCCTTCCCCCCATACTGTCCTGCTGCCCCCCGTGCTTTCTTGCCCTACATTCCATTTCCTTCCTCTCCCCTTCCTTGCTATGTCCTCCTGTTTAGCCCTCCACTTTGCTACCCCTGCTCCTGTCTCATCCAGTTACCTAACTTGTCCTCTCCTGTCCCCCCCACTACTGTCCCATTCAGTGCCTCCTTCCTCTACCAAGTAGCCCCCCTCCCATCCCTCTTCGTGTCTCATGCCCCCACCCCCCTTGCTGTGTTGTCTGGTGCCTGTCCTGGCTAGCACCTCCTCTTCCTTTCTGGCGCCATCTCCTGTCTCATCAGCCCTCTGTCCCCTCCCTTCCTTCATGTTGGGCTGTCCCTCCATCAGTCCATCCTTCCTTCCTGCCTTAATCCTTCTGCAGTTATTGTAGCACAACAATGTGCCTATTAGGCTTCAAGGATATAATAGTGAACGAAACATAAAGAAATCCATTGTTATGGTGCTTTCATTCGAAGACATTTCATAGTTTGCAGATGCTGCTGACGTTTTTTATTCCTTTAGTTAGTGACTAAGTGATAGTTGTGTATGTTTTGTAGGAGCTGTATTTTAGAATCTTTATTTTTGTCCAAAAAATTAAGTAGTATATGATCTCTCTTTGTTTTGTTTGCTTTTGATATTAAAGTTAGTTAAAAAAATGTATTGATTGTCTTTAAGCCTCACTATAGTGTGGTGTTACTTAAATGTAATTTTTTGACTTGCTTTTATAGGAGCTATGTATACTATTTTAAGATTTTTTAGCGTCAAGATGTTTTTGTTTTTCCCCTTAGCAATGACACCTTATATATAGCAGCTTATGTCTTTGGAGTGCCCAATTATTCTAAGCACTGTGCTAAATGATGAATATGTACATATGCGCGCACATGCATACGTGTATACACACATAGATATATCCACAGACTTTATTTATCCTAGGAATATTATAAGCAGGTGGTGGTATGGCATCCTTATTTTATCTTACTTATTTTTTTAAGATTTTATTTACTTATTAGAGAATGAGAGCGAGAGTGAGAGAGAGCATAAGTGGGGGAGGGTCAGGGAGAAGCAGACTCCCCACTGAGCAGGGAGCCCGATGTGGGACTCGATCCCAGGACTCCAGGATCATGACCTGAGCTGAAGGCAGTTGCTTAACCAACTGAGCCACCCAGGCGCCCCTTATTTTAAAGATGAGGAAATCAGAGCTAAGATTCTGAACTGGAGTTTGAACCTAAATCTGTTTATTTCAAAGCCTAAGTTCTCTTTCTCCCATAGTAAGCTGCTATGTAAGCAAAACCTGTAGATTATATCTAGAGGGGAATTCTGGGATTCCAGTGGTGGTGGTGTAGAATTTTAATCTTCCCAAATCATCTTGATAAAAATAGTCAACAACTAGATGAGCATAACCAAAAAAAAAAAAAAAAAAAGCCGCAAACATCTATATCAAAACCAGGTTACAGAGTAACCTATTGAACCCTAAAATATGAATTAGTAGTGAGAAAATACTGATAGCTACTAGGTCTACATCTGTCTTTCTGGCAGCAGAGAGAATTAATGGGCATCGGATGGACCTGAGAACGGGAATTCCAACATAGTTAATTGGCTAATCTAATAGATTAATGTGGAAACAATAGCTAACCCTGGGAGGGCTCTTGCAGACTCCATTTTGGGGTGAGGGTAATAGGTCCACGCTAAAGGTTGAAGGAGTTGGAGCAGCCTGGGTCTGTAAACTCTCAAAACTAACGAGCCATAGCTCCCTTCCTGGGCAGAGCCCTCCTATTAAGGAAAAACTGCTGGGAATAGAAGCCACATTTATTAGGATAGAGACAGTAGGTGCAAAGGAAAGATAAAAGTTGGAAGGGATCATAATCGGATCCCCATACATAGTTATTATTGAAAAATGACAAGGAATAACATAGCTTCTCTGTAGAAAATGGAAGTACACTAGAAAGATATGCACAGAAAACTAAAATCTAATGATTCAGAATGAGCCAACAAATTAAAACGATAAAAGATGAAAGAAGAAAATGGATCATAATTACAAATGAGGTAACAGAACTCAGGAAAGAATTAAAAAGAAAAGGATAATTTCTGAAAAGAAGAGTAAGCTTGATGCAACACAGATCAAATAAATATGACAGATAATGCCTTAAGAGAAACAGAAGGTAAAAAGAAGAAAAATTTTAGGGGCGCCTGGGTGGCTCAGTCGTTAAGCGTCTGCCTTCGGCTCAGGTCATGGTCCCAGGGTCCTGGGATCAAGCCCCGCATTGGGCTCCCTGCTCGGCGGGGAGCCTGCTTCTCCTCTCCAGCTCCCCCTGCTTGTGTTCCCTCTCTCGCTGTCTCTCTGTCTCTGTTAAATGAATAAATAAACTCTTTAAAAAAAAATTTAAAATAAAAAAGATAAAAAGTATTTCAGGAAAGTGACAAAGATAGAGTATCTAATAGACGTGTATTAGGAGTCCTTGCAAAAAAGGAAAAACAAAAACTAAAACATGGAATATAACAACTGCTAAAATTTATAATTCCAGACAAAATGTCCCCAAATTAAATGATTTAAAGCTAAATATTAAAAGGACATATTGCATACCTGGGAAAATTGAGATCACCAAACACTGAGCATAACCTGGTAAAATATCAGAATCTTCAAGAAAAGGAAAAAAATTCTTTGGGTATCTAGAGGAAAAGGTCAAGTTTAACTTATAAAGGAAAGAAAATCTGATCTCAATGCTTTATGATCTCAATGAAATAACATTTAATGTACTCAAGGAACAAAAATGTAAGCTAAGAGTTTTATATATAGTTTGGTTATATATAAAACTTTCAAGTATAAAGGCTACAAATTGCTATGAACATGTAAGAATTCAGTATATATACTTTCAGTTAAGTATATACTTCAATTAAGTATATATACTTTCAAGTATAAAGGCTACAAATTGCTATGAACATGTAAGAATTCAGAGAATCTTGTTCCCATTAGCCTTTTCTGATTAATGTATTAGAAAATGGGTCTCAGACAACCAAGATGACTGGAGAAGTACCAACTGAAGGGCTGATAGTGGACATTAAATATGTATTTGTTGAACTAAGATTAAAGTATAGTTAAAGGAAGGGGCAGAATCTATGTAATGGTTATATGCTCTGTCATCACAGATAAAGTACAACTGTCAAAAAATGGGATGGGAGGGCGCCTGGGTGGCTCAGTTGGTTAAGCGACTGCCTTCGGCTCAGGTCATGATCCTGGAGTCCCTGGATCGAGTCCCACAACAGGCTCCCTGCTCGGCAGGGGGTCTGCTTCTCCCTCTGACCCTCCCCCCATCTCATGTGCTCTCTCTCTCTCAAATAAATAAACAAAAATCATTTAAAAAAATGGGATGGGAATGGAAGGAGCATATGGAAAGTTTAGTAAGCTGTTTGATTGCCTTTTAATTATTAACTGGAATGGAATACTATTATTTTAAATCAAAATATGAGGGAGAAAGAAGGTAAGGGTAAGAACATGAGTGACTCATTTCAGTGTTGTACATACTGGGGAACCAGTTGACTCACACACTCTGGCTCTTTTATTTATTTTTTATAAAGATTTATTTATTTATTTTGAGAGAGTGAGAATGAGAGAGAGAGAATACATGAGACGGGGGAGGGTTGGAGAAGCAGGCTCCTCGCCGAGCAGGGAACCCGATGCGGGACTCGATCCTGGGACTCCAGGATAATGACCTGAGCCAAAGGCAGTCGCTTAACCAACTGAGCCACCCAGGCACCCTCTGGCTCTTTTTTTTAAAGAGGGAATTAAGTTTTGTATATATAAGTTATATATTAGTATTATTGTAAATATAACTATTAGGACGATGCAGAGTTTATGTGAAAAAAAAGCAAACAATGGAAGGATTAACCATTAAGTTAAAAAAACAGGTTTCATATCTAAAAAAGGAATGTGGTATAGGGGACAAAGGTAGAAGGGAGACATCTTTGAATATGTCTTGTTTTATAGATTTGATTTGAAACCACATATATATTTTATACAATTATAAAGCAAAATTAAATTCCTAAAAGTGGAAAATAAAATGAACAAACCTAAATGTGTATCTTCTTGGCATAACCATACAGAGAGAAAAGTACAAGTGATTTTTAAACGTAGTAATTTGTCTTTGTATCTTTTTAGGAAGAATATACCTAAAAGAACTGCATGTAAAAAGCAATATTTTAACAGTTTTCAACAGTTTTCAGAGATCTTGTTGTTTGTGGTAGTGTTAATGTTATTACCCTGAGATTGTTGTGTGATATCACAAGAAACCAAATGAGTAGTTATATGGTAATTCTGATTCTGTTATCCCCAGTGACCTTGAGAACCAGAATGATGAGGGTGGGAAAAAGGTGTGGATGTAACATAAAACGCTGAGTAAAAACCTTATGGTCTTGAATTTGCATTGGAAGAGGGTTTTTACTTATGATTTATTTTATCTTCAAGACAAAACACCCTCCTACCGCTATTTCCTAGCTCTGTCCATGAAAAGACTTAGAAACAATAACCATTCTAGTAACAATAACCAGACTTGTGCCCAGATTATAGTCTTGAAATAGCCTTTCTCTCTGTAAAGAACCAGTCTTTGGAGAAATGGCTAATTCTAGCTCTTGTCACGAAGTGAACAAGATGAGCTTCTTAACAGATGGTAAGGAAGCTATCAGAGGTTTCTAGGTCATGTTAAAAGGATCCAGCAGCCAACTTGGAGTGTTTCTTATCAAATACAGAGACAGATGAACTATTTAAATTATACCAATTAGCAAAGTTCAGATTGTAAGAAACTTCATAGGGCAAATAACCCTGTTTCTTCAACAAATAACTGGCAAAGAAAAATATATGTATAGACTTTATTTGGAACTTGATTTAAGCAGACTGAAAAATTTTATCATTTATGAGGCAATTTGAAATTTGAACACTGGTATTTTATGATATTACAGAGTTAATTGATAATTTGGGGAGGGTTGTTAGTAGTATTGTAGTTTTGTTTTTTAAAAAAAGTTTACATGATTAATAATAGAGGAGGGGAGGATAGGTAGGGGAAAACAAGATTGGCCATGAGCTGAAAATTGTTAAAAATAGTTGATGGGTATATGGGAATTCAAAATACTGTTGTCTACTTTTGTATGTTTGAGACTTTCCATAATTAAACAGTTAAGGGGGGAAAAAACAATGCAGCCTCATAGAGTTTGAGATGATGGAAAATTCCAAGAGAAAATGTCTAATGAGAAGTTAAAATTGATGTGTGTTAGAGGGCAGGGAGAGGGATAAATAGGGCTAGAGAAGTATATTTTGGAGTTTTGGAAATAGGGTGATAGTTGTCAAAGTGGATTAAACTTTTAAGGAAGAAGAGAAAAAAACAAAGGAATAAAATTTGGGGGAGAATGGATTTAGGGATCTGAAAAAGGACATGGAGCCAGTGAGTGGAGAAAGAGAAGGAACGGGCAGAAAGGTTAGACTGTCATCCAGAAATTAAGGGAATAGTTTCAAGTAGTTGGGGTCAAATGTTGTGGAGAAGGCAAAAGATAAAACACTGAAGGGCAGTCTACTCTGTTAGGAAGTAGTCAGATATTATCACTATTCTTCACCAATTTTCTAGTGGTGTAATTTGCTGTTCTGTTGTGCTTAAGAGAATGGGTTTTGGACTGGAGTTTGAAATGGGGCTAATAATAGCGCTTTACTTTCAGGGTTATATGTGTTGGGTGAGTTAATTCGTATAAAGCTCTTAGAACAGTATCTGCCACATGGTATGAGTTGCTGCTGATTGTGTTCTGAACCCAATTGCCCTTCTTTTCCTATATATATATATATATATTTTTTTATGTGTATTTATTTTAGAGAGAGAGTGCATGGGGAGGAGGGGAAGAGGGTGAAAGAGAACCTCAAGCAGACTCCCCACTGAGCGCAGAGCCCCAGGGAGGGCTCCATCCCACAACCCCGAAATCATGACCTGAGTCGAAATCAAGTTGGATGCTTAACCAACTGAGCCACCCAGGCGTCCCCTTTTCCCATATATTTAATAAGCATGTTGTTTCTACATACTTCTATCTTGGAATGAATACTGATTCCCCTTTTGGTTTAAGTATAGTTTATTTTAGAAATCAGATTTTATTTTTTTAGGCTAGATTGATGGTGAATTTTGGACTTTTTGATTTACAAATTCTCAAGATGTAAGATAGGATTATGGGGTTAAAAGATTGGATATCAAAAAGCAAAATTTTGTGAATTCTTATGAATGATAGACTGTCATGATTTATTTTTGATTTTATATTCTTGTGGAAATATTGTGGTTTTGTTTATTAAAATGTTTTTTTTTTTTCATTTTTTTGGTGGACAGCAAAGCAAAGTTTATTGAGCAATAGTACAAAGCTCCTGAAGAGGGAGGGGACCCGAGACAGTTGCCCTATTAAAATGTTTTTTATTTTTATTTTTTAAATATTTTATTTATTTATTTGAGAGAGAGAATGAGAGAGAGAGAGAGAGCATGAGAGGGGGTTGGGTCAGAGGGAAAAGCAGACTCCCTGTTGAGCAGGGAGCCTGATGCGGGACTCGATCCCGGCACTCCAGAATCATGACCTGAGCCGAAGGCAGTCGCTTAACCAACTGAGCCACCCAGGCGCCCTAAAATGTTTTTTAAAGGTACTCTTTAAAGTTTGTAACTAACAACCCACTTGAATATGTTGTCCTTTAACAGTTTTTTTCATTAGGAACAAAAGAAAATTAGTACTTTAAACATGTAAGAACTAATGATTGATTTTTTTTTTTATGGTATGTACTTTAGATTTGGGAACATGAATTTTTTTTTTTTTTTTTGAAAGACGTTAGGTAAAGTTGGCCGAGTACAACAGATTTATTCAGACAGTGATTTAAAGGTGGAAGTTTGTGGAACATCTTGGACATATAATCCAGCAGCAGTTTCCAAAGTGGCGTCTGCAGGATCAGCCATTAGCAATGCATCTGGTGGTATGTTTGTATTCTTGTGTCTTTAAAAGTAATATGGTTAAGTCATTTTCCAAAAGGTTGATGTTGATAAATAATTACTTATACTAATCATAACACTATAAGGTTTGAGCAAGTCATTTTCCAAAAGGTTGATGTTGATAAATAATAACTTATAAAAGTAATATGGTTTACATTAGAACCTTTGCTAATTTCTCGGTTCTCTTGTACAGCTAATGTTGTGTGTGTTCATAGTTTTCTCCCAGATCACATGACCTCATTTGAATGTTGACTAACTTCTATACTTTTTCTAAAGGTTTTTTTATTTTTGTTCTGACTGAGGTATACCCTGGATGATTTCCTTAAATAGGTGCTTTTTCTTGGGTATTATATCAAGGGCTTTTCCACATCAAATCTGAGAAAACTGAAATTCATCATTGTATTCTTTAGTCTGAACTTTTGCTTTTTGCCAAGAAACATCACTTTCTTAGCCTGCTTTATTCTCTTTTTATTTTCCACATTATTGCTAGCAGATGGCTTTCTTCCTGGATATTTTTACATATCAGCCATATTTTTTCTATTTATTTTATTTTTATCTTTTTTAAAGATTTTATTTATTTATTTATTTGTCAGAGAGAGAGAGAGAGAGAGCACAAGCAGGGGGAGTGGCATGCAGAGGGAGAAGCAGGCTTCCTGGTGAGCAAGGAGCCGGATGCAGGACTCGATCCCAGGACCCTGGGATCATGACCTCAGCTGAAGGCAGATGCTTAACTGACTGAGACACCCAGGTGTCCTCTTACTATTTAATAAGAGTTATTATACATGTAGAAATTTGTAATTATAAGTAGGAACTCATTTTGAAATGTGAATAAGCTGGATGCTTGGGTAGACTCATGACAAAGTCTTTCCTTCCTTGTGCTCCAGCTTTGTATACATAGCCTCAATTCATTCTAGAACAAATTGCAAGTTATTATGTATTGTCATTCAGAAAAGAAGGTAGAACCATAACTAAATTTTAAGAAAGTAAAGGAAAACATTGGGTGACCTCCACAATTTTATTTTATACTGCTTTCTACTTCTTCTGCTGCTTTCTCGTCTTTCCTGATGTAATTTGCTAGTGTACTTAAAATTTAAATCAGGTGGTGTTTATATTTTTACCTTGCAGTTAGATGGCATCACAGCAGGCTGACGACCTACAAATTCAAAGAATGAGAATATCTTACTCAAATAATTTGGACTTGGTGTTGGCCCTCTGCCTCACTTTATGATTGCTTTGCTTTCCACTAAGTAGAGCCGAGAGTTAAGGAATAGAACTGGGTAGTTTCTCTACTGATTAATGCTACTTGGGAAAAAAGATCTTATGAAAGAGTCTATGTAAATACATCTCTAGTTCTTTTTTTTTTAGTCGGTACCAATCACGTGGCACCTGTTGAAGTATGTTAACACTTAGATGACAATTTTCAACTGAAAATTGGTTTGTCACTAAAACATTTCCTCAGATGTTACAGAGATTACATTGCCTTTAAATCATAATCATTGATTGGTTGATTTATTCTAAGGTCTGCAGCATAGAGCTCCAAGATGTGGTATGCTTAAAACCTGAAAGGAAGTTTGTATTGTTATGATACTCCCATTGTAGTGTGTTCATTTGTGATTATCTTTGGTATGACTTCTAAATCTTGAATTGTTATTTATATGTAACTCTCTACTTTTTCTTAATTGGAGAGAACTGGGAATACTTATGAGTTGGAATTTAATGCAGCTTTATATGGCAGTGATTATAACTTGCATGGGTAATATCTGTAGTATAGTATGAAAATAACATGACAGAAATAATAAAAAAGGAAAAGTATGTATTACAGATATGTGGGTAATGCTTGTCTTTTAGCAGTAGTTAAGGTTTGAGATCCTCCTGTGTTAGCAGCTTTATTTGATGCTTTACAGAAAGACTCTCCCAACTCTTGAAGAAATTATTTGAAACCCAAGAATCTGGTGACCTCAATGAAGAATTAGTTAAGGCTGCTGCCAATGGAGATGTTGCTAAAGTGGAAGATTTGCTAAAAAGACCAGATGTGGATGTGAGCATTTTAAAAATTATTTGAAGCATATATAAAAATAGAATAGTATCATGAACATAATTCAATAATTATTGAGATATTTCCACATGTGCTTCATCTATTCCTTCTTCTTTGTTTTTGTGAGGTATTTTAAAGAAGACACTGGACATCATTCTTCAGTGTACTTTTTTTTTTTTTAAAGATTTTATTTATTTAGAGTTTTTTTTTGTTTTTTTTTTTTTAACAGAGAGAGAGACAGCGAGAGAGGGAACACAAGCAGGGAGAGTGGGAGAGGGAGAAGCCGGCTTCTGACCTGAGCCGAAGGCAGATGCTTAACGACTGAGCCACCCAGGCGCCCAAAGATTTTATTTATTTATTTTGATAGAGCACACAAGCAGTGGGAGCAGCAGGCAGAGGGAGAAGCAGACTGCCCCCTGAGCAGGGAAGCCCGATGCGGGGCTCGATCCCAGGACCCTGGGATCATGACCTGAGCCAAAGGCAGATGCTTAACCGACTGAGCCACCCAGGCGCCCCTTCAGTGTACTTTTCTAAAAGACACTGACATATTCTTATTTTAACACTGTGAGCTTTTAAATTTATGATTGACAAAATTTGCACTTAGGTTTTTGAGTGGTCAGTGTCCTTTTCCATTTCTCATGGAAATGTCATCTTACCATGTCTTTTAAATATATTTTGTAAATTTTATAAGCAGTTTTTTTATCTCTCTTCTCAAAACATTTAATCTAAACCTTTTCCTGTGCAGGTTGACTATTTTATAGTTTATAATGCAGATCAATTAGAGGTCATGCATTTTGTAAATCTTAATAGTTATTGTATTTTACCATTCACATAAGCCATATTTTCAGTGGGCCATTTTGGTTCTAGTTAGTCATTCATAGGCTTTGTTATTGCCACCACGCTGTCACCAATACGATGTTTGGTGCTGGCCCAGAGATTGTAGTTGGAGTAGCACAACATCATATTCTTAGGAGCTCCTGTGGCTTTGCAGTTATTAGGGAGATGTCAGTTGCAACAGCACAACACAGTGGTTTCTTGATTGTGAGACAGATACATCACAAATACTTTGTTTCAGTATCAAAGTACCAAATGATTTTTTATATTCAACCAAGCAGATTTAAATTATACTTAATTTTTTCTTCATTTGATTACTAAAGTATTTTTTTAACAATATACATTCTAAAAATTAAAGGGAAAAATAGTTCTACAAGGTTTGTTATGAAAAAATTTCCTTCTCAATTCTGTTTACCCATTCTTCAGAGACAACTATTTTCACCTCTTTCAGTTGATTTTCTTCATATGTTTACCTCCACATCTTCCAGTAACATACTTCTATTTTTTTTTTTTGATTTTTATGTTTTAGGAGTTATCTTTTGATACTTCACTGTGAAGATGAGGATTCAGCTTTCTTTCCCACCTCCAGCTCATTCCCTCCACACACATACACACTCCTCTCAGCTTCTTAATGTGGTTAGGTTGTATGGTAACTTTGTTAAGATTAAAATTAATTGTGCATGTTATTATTTAAATGACATTCATATCTGAGCTGTGGACGATGCTAGATTGTATTTTCCTATATAACCATTTGCTTTCCTTGGTGTTCATAATTGTTCTTTTATAAAAAAAAATTGTGTAATTTACATATAATGAAATACATGGATCAGTTTTGACAAATGCATACACATAATTCACACCCCATTAGATGTAGAACATTTCCTTTATTCCAGGAAGTTCACTTGTAGTTTTTCTCAATCAGTCCCTCTTAACTTCAGACATAAAGTTTTTTTCATTTGTTTATAATCTATGTTGTTATAATCAGTTCTTCTGCAAACTTCTAATTGTCTAATCTCCCAAGACATTCAGGCACATCAGGTATGTGTTCATTTCATCTTCTGAGAGATGATAACAGGAGAAAACATAGGTGACTTTGAGTATGGTGATGACTTTTTAGATATAACACCAAAGACATCATCTATGATCTTGTAGGACTTACTTTTGTGTTTTACATTTAAGTCTATGATTCATTTTGAGTTAATTTTTATGAAGGGTATACGGTTTGTGTCTAGATTGATTTTTTTTCCTTGGGTTACTCCTGGCATCGGCCATTAGGTCTTTTCTCTTGGGCTGGTCTGACTCCCCAGACAGGTCTCTTAATTCTTCTGCATTAGAGGGTATAAACCTGGCTGCCAAGATCATGAATAGTGAGAGGGAAGGGGGCTTGGATTCTCAGCATTCATCATGTAAATATTTACATAATAAAACTTCTGATTTTAGTACTTTGCCCCACTGATAACAGTGCTTGGTTTCTGTAGGCTAGGGATACTTTACTGTTTCCAGAGAATAAACTTTAAGGTTTCTGCTAGCCTCAGGGTAGACCACTAGTTCAGCTGAGCAGAGTGAGGGAATCCAGGGATCTAAATGCTTTTTAAAATTAATTATTAATAATTTAATTATTAAGTAAATTTATTTTTAAAGATTTTATTTATTTGACACAGAGAGAGAGAGAGTGAGAGAGAGAGAGAGAGCACAAGCAAGGGGAGTGGCAGGCAAGCAGAGGGAGAGGGAGAAGCAGGCTCCCCGCCGAGCAAGGAGCCTGATGTGGGGCTTCAACCCAGGACCCTGGGATCATGACCTGAGCCAAAGGCAGACGCTTAACCAACTGTGCCACCCAGGTGCCCCTCTAAATGCTTTTAAAACAAACTATTAGCCAATGCTTTTTTGTTTACCACCAGCCACCACATTATCCTCATATCCAGAGGTATCCAGTCAATACCTGAGCTTTTTTGGTTTCCTTGGTGGAAGGGTTGCTTCTAGGTTATTCTCATAGCACGCTTAGGGGCTGCTTTTCAGCTTCCTGTATAGGTGCTTGCATGTGTGTCTGTCTGTGCGTGTGTTATTTTGCTAGTTCTAATTATCTTTGTGGATTGAGGCTTCAAAGAAAATAAAACTTTACTCTTGTTTTAGTAAGATGTTGAGAGGTTATGAAGACAAGTGCAATCCAACCTTTAAAGAACACTTATAAGTATATACCTTTTTAAAAAAGTTTTATTGAGGTATAATTGTTTATACCACAAATAAATACATAGGGGTACGGTCTTTAAGTCTCACAATACTGAACAACTGTTCTCTTGCTTTATGTCTGCTCAGCTTCTAGCTCCTCTAATGGGATTTCCTGTTTTTCATAGCATCCTCCTTTTGATTTTTAGATGTAAAGGATTCTTGAACATCTCTAACTGAAGTTTCTTTCTCAAACATTGTCTTTATTTCTCTCCATTTGTTTCTTCCAGTCATTTTTTTTCTTTCTTTTTTTTTTTTGAATTATTTTTGTGTGTGTTTTCTATTTTTGAGGTCTTCCTCAAATCTCGGATCTTTTGTTGTCCATTCGTATCTGAATAAGACATTAAAAAGCTTATTGGTGGTTCTCTTTTCTTCGATAGGACTTAGTGACTGACTTTGCATTACGGTGATTGCATACGTGGAGCTTTTGGGGTGTTTAAATGCTAACTCATGCAGAGGTGTGTTCTCCATGGCTATTCAGTGGTTTAAGGGAGGAAACCATTTTTCTGCCTAGGGACTAGATGCATGGCAGCTAATGTCCTATCCTTGAGTTTGAGAAGGGTGGCCTGGAGTGTGGCCACTGCAGATGGCCACTGGCACATCAGACCTCTACCTGGGGTTTTTCTTCTTAGCCCTCTCATTGTGCTTGCTTTTGCAGGCTTTGACTTTGTGTGGGGTTCCCAGGTTTTGTATTCCTTTTCTTTATAAAGTCAGTCTGTTTTCTCCATTTCAAAAATGTGTTGCTTTTTATTATTTTCTGATGTTAGCTTTCCCTTTCTCTTTGTCTTTATGGCTTTTTATGTTTTTAATTATTTTACTGTCTTTTTAATGTAGTCTGGGGAGGAATAGGATATAAATGTGTGGTCAGGCTACCATCTTCTATGGTTATTTTTATTTTATTTTATTTTTTAAAGATTTTATTTATTTGACAGAGAGAGCACAAGCAGGGGGAGTGGCAGGCAGAGGCAGCGGGAGAAGCAGGCTCCCACAGAGCAGGGGGAGCCTGATGTGGGACTCGATCCCAGGACCCCGTGATCATGACCTGACCCGAAGGCAGTCGCTTAACCAGCTGAACCACCTAGGCGCCCCTGGTTGTTTATTTTTAAAGATTTTATTTAGGGGCGCCTGGGTGGCTCAGTTGGTTAAGCGACTGCCTTCAGCTCGGGTCATGATCTCAGGGTCCTGGGATTGAGCCCCCGCATCGGGCTCCCTGCTCGGCGGGAAGCCTGCTTCTCCCTCTGACCCTCCCCCTGCTTGTGTTCCCTCTCTCGCTGTCTCTCTCTGTCAATTAAATAAATAAATAAAATCTTAAAAAAAAAAAGATTTTATTTACTTAAAGGTTTTTTTTTTATTCATCTGAGACACAGAGATAGAGAGAGAGAGAGAGAGAGAGCATGAGCAGGGAGAGAGGCAGAGGGAGAGGGAGAAGCAGGCTCCTCGCTGAGCCAGGAGCCTGATGTGGTGCTCGATCCCAGGACCCTGGGATCATGACCTGAGCCGAAGGCAGACGCTTAACCATCTGAGCCACCCAGGCGCCCTATTTATTTACTTAAGAGAGACTGCGTGTGCAAGCAGGGGGACAGGCAGAGGGAGAGGGAGAAACAGACTCTCAGCTGAGCACGGAGCCGGATGCGGGGCTCTATCCCAGGACCTTGAGATCATGACGTGAGCTGAAGGCAGACGCTTAACTGACTGAGCCACCCAGGTGGCTTTTATGATTTTATGTATGAGAGTGAATGGGGTGGGCTTAAGGAATTACACTTAGCCTTGGGTATGTCATGGAGAAATTATACATTTACACAAATCTGAAGTGAGGAGAAGGTTGGAAATTACTGCTTTATGTCATAGTTGTATATAGCTACCTTTCTAATTCATTCATGTATTCCTCGTGGTAGTTTGCTGATAGTATTCAGTATATTTGTCGAGTTGAAATTATTTATATAGTGGACAATATCTTTTCTAAAAGTTTTCCATTCACTTCATTGCTTTTCTTTCATTGAAACATAGACTCTGAGCTTTAATAATTCAAATAGAAGTAAATATACAAAACTAATGTAACTTACTTTTCTCCCTCACTTCCTTTCTTTTTTGAACTTTGCAGATTGGCTAAAACAGTTCTTTGATAGCTCTTTGAACAATGGAACTTTCATCTGAAAAGAAAAAAAAAAAAAGGAAAAATGTCTGCTCCCCTCTCTAAATTACAGTAAAGTTTCTGGTGATCTGTACTAGGATATATGGAACACCAACCTAAATTATTTTCAAAGAATCATATGGTGTGCTAGATTTATTTTTTTTATTTTTATTTTTTTTCAGTGTGCTAGATTTAAACCTATACTATCTATTGACTCTTTGTGATTTGTGACAATCCTTCATCCTTTCTTTTTATTTAGGTAAATGGACAATGTGCTGGTCACACAGCTATGCAAGCTGCTAGTCAGAATGGACATGTTGACATTTTGAAGTTACTTTTGAAGCAAAATGTGGATGTAGAAGCAGAGGTAATTAAACTAATCTTGAAAAATACTTAAGTAAAAAATTAATGTTCTAGAAATGGTACTTCTATATTATAAGATGAATTGCTTTCATTCCTAAAATTTAATAATCACCTAAGGCTGTTCTGATTGAAAAGAAAAATTTGACAAGAGATAACTTGAAGCATTTCTTGTTTCTCTTAGATCTCTCAATATTGTAGACATAACCCTAAGTGAAGATAGGAGTTGAGTTTTCCTTTGCTATGGTTGGACCACCATGCTGCTGGGAGCCCAGATGGGTTCATCCAAGAATCATACTAAAGAAGTTGAGGGAAGGAGAATATATAGATCATGTAGGTCAAGATTTTTACTGATCAGTGACACTCAGAGGCCTTTCTTTATTTTAATCTCATAAGGGAATCAGTAAATTAGAATTTGTTTAGTTTTATTGTTTCTTGACCTTAATGTGGATCTTTGAAAATTTTACAGTGCATGTTTATCATTATATGTGTGTATATATGCTTAATAGAAAGTATATTCTTTTAAAAAGGAAATGAATATTTTTTACTGTCACTGGAATTTCAGTTGATAATCTCTGTGTGTGTTGTGAAGGATGTTGTCCTTTGTTACAGTATACTGTAACCTCATTACTGAAAAAAATACATTAAAATTACATTTGTTGTTGTCTAGTGGAAGGTTATTTAGGAATAAGTCAAATCCTATCAAATTTAGACTAGGCAGAAAGTTGTAATTTTGTTCAAATGATACTACCATCTGAGGAAGCTTAATGACTTGAATTTCTGAGGGCTAAATCAGTGGACCAGCCTGTTTTTATTAATAAAAAATTTTAAAGACACATATTTGAAAAGAGAAGTCTTATATTATTTTTGCTGTTTTCTCAGATTGAATGTATTTTGATTTGTTGGACAGCTACTAAAGAATCAGTGGTGTTGTAATTGTAAATAAGTCATTTCTGATGTTGGAATTTTCTGTTGTCTAAAAACTTGAATTTTAAATTAGCAGGTAGATGTCTGTAAACTATATGATAGTTTTTTTTTTTTTTTAAGATTTTATTTATTTATTTGAGAGAGAGAATGAGAGAGAGAGAGAGCATGAGAGGGGGGAGGGTCAGAGGGAGAAGCAGACTCCCCGCTGAGCAGGGAGCCCAATGTGGGACTCGATCCCGGGACTCCAGGATCATGACCTGAGCCGAAGGCAGTTGCTTAACCAACTGAGCCACCCAGGCGCCCTATATGATAGTTTCATTATTGTGATATCTTTAAGAATGAGATGATATGATTTGATTTTGTTTTCACAGTAGTAATTTTTAATTCACATCTTTCTTGGTTATGAATTTAGGAACCCAGTATATGTTACAAGGTTGCTTTTGGTAGTGAAAGACTTAATTTAAATTTAGTATTTTGTAAGCGGAATTTACAATTAAAGTAAAACACAATTACTTTATTGTGTTACTGTTTTCGTCTGGCTTGGGGAAATGGAATGAAATTCTCTGAGTTGAATACCCCATTTTTTAAAAAGATTTTATTTATTTATTTGAGAGAGAGAGCACAAGCAGGGAGGGGCAGAGGGAGAGGGAGAAGCAGGCTTCCCACTGAGCAGGAAGCCAGAAGTGACAGTGGGCTCAATCCCTTACCCTGAGATCATGACCTGAGCCAAAGGCAGATGCTTAACCAACTAAGCCACTCAGGCACCCTGAATATCCCATTTTTTATTTAATGAATCCAGAAACTACAATAGCAACAATTACTAAAATACCAAAGCCCTTCTGATTATAGCTAATAAGGCAAGAGGCCAAAAATAAAATTTTTTGCCTAATTTTTTATAAAGTGTGCTTTCTGATTCAGAATTTAATTAATAAAGCAGACAACATGGGACTATCTAGCCATTTGTGTTTCTAAAGACTTCTTGTTCATATGAGAGGTTGTGCACAATGGTGGTGCAGCTGTGGGGGTGGGAACAAAGTTGGCACTGTTCCTTAACTGAACTCAAATACAAAACAAATGGTTAGTTGATAATATAAACCTGGTAAGATTGGAGTTGGAGTGTGGCTCAGTAAGCTAAGTGTTTACAAATAATTTCTTTGAGAAAGTTTGAAAGTTAGGTCTGTTACCAGATCAGTGTGATATATTTGGACTTCAACCATACCACCTCATTTGAATTTCCATTCTGTGCATTTCTGTTTTAAAAATGCTTGTAGGCAAAAGGAGGTAGGTGGGGGGATGGGATATTGGGTAATGGGCATTAAGGAGGACACTTGATGTAAAGAGCATTGGGTGTTATATGCGACTGATGAATCATTAAATTCTGCCCCTGAAACTAATAATACACTATATGCTAACTAAATTGAATTTAAATAAAAATGTTTAAAAAATAAAAACCATTGTAGGCAGATGTAATTTATAGAAATAGTGTGAGAAAGGAATATTTATACATCACGTTAAATTAATAACACAGTTTCCCAATTGGCAAAGAAAAAACTACATTTAAAAATTGGGTTGAGATATAAATACAATTCATAGCCTAAGACTAAAACAAAAAAATCATCAAAGTATCATTTTTCTGGAATTTAAGAATTTATTAGAAACAGCAATATAGTTTTTTCTAGAACAGTAATTTCTCAGTTGGGGGCATTTTTGTCCCACAGGGGACATTTGGAAATGTCTGGGAACATTTTTTTTTTTTGAAGATTTTATTTATTTGACAGAGAGAGACACAGTGAGAGAGGGAATACAAGCAGGGGGAGTGGGAGAGGGAGAAGCAGGCTTCCTGCAGAGCAGGGAGCCCTATGCGGGGCTCGATCCCAGGACCCTGGGATCATGACCTGAGCCGAAGGCAGATGCTTAATGACTGAGCCACCCAGGCGCCCAGGGAACATTTTTGATTGTCACAACTGGTGGGGGTGGTGGGAGTACTACTGGCATCTAGGTGGTAGAAACTAAGGATGCTACTAAACATCCCATAGTGCATAGTACAGCTCCCACAACAAAGAACTATCTGGCCCAAAATGTAAATATTGCCAAAGTTGAGAAACCCTGGTTTAAAAGATGGAGAAAATAGTTAATTTTACAAATGCACTTAAATTTGTGATTCATCATTTGCCAGCCTGTTTATAAAGTGATTTGTCATTATTAATTTTTTTATTATTGAAAAAAAATTTAAAGATTGTG